TCTACAGCAAACATTAAAAATGTGAAACCAAAATACTGAACACATCTTCATACAATGAACAGAGAAGACTGATGTGTGAATATTCCTGTAATACCATAAAACAAAACTTCAAAGAGATTAATACAACTTAAAATAATACGAAAGGATGAGCATATGTTAATAAAACGAGTCTTAATCAAGGAAATTATGAAGGTACAATTGTGAAAATCTGGCCCCTATATATATCACACGGTAAAACGTTCAGGTTCTGTAACCAGGTAAATTCTTGAAGCAAATATGTTATTTTAAACACAATAATTCAGTTTATGCAATAAACATTTTCATAGAAATGCAAAATAAAAAATGTCTCTATAGTCTCTCACTGTCGCCTTGAATGGATGATTTCTTGCACACATTAAACGAGAAGGTTATCCCTAATGTTATTCCATGCGATGATGGTTAGTTTTCCGCCACGAGTTAACATTCCCTTCCATATCTCACGATCATGCTTGTTCTGCACTGTGTGATTTGAGATGCATATTCAGAAGGAAGCGGTGAATGAGCCTTTTCTTGCACAATTTACACGAGAAATGCCGTTTTCCACTGTGCAGCCTCAGATGATTCTTCAGGATATATCTGTTAGCGAAAGTTTCCTTACACACTTTGCAAGAAAAGGGCCTTTCTCCACTGTGTATTCTGAGATGTATGTCTAGGTTATGGAGCTCAATGTACCGTTTCTTACACACATGGCACGCGAACGGTCGCTCTCCACTGTGTGTATTCTGAGATGCCTGTTTAGGTGAATGCGCTGTGCGAAAGTTTTCTTGCACACTTCGCATGAAAATGGTCGTTCTCCACTGTGCACCCTCAGATGAGTCTTCATGTTGGATCGCTGAGTGAATGTTTTCTCACACACTTCGCAAGAAAAGGGTCTTTCTCCACTATGTATTCTGAGATGGATATTTAGGTGATAAAGCTCAGTAAACCGTTTCTTACACGCATCGCACGAGAATGGTCGCTCTCCACTGTGTACCCTGAGATGCTTGTTTAGGTGAATGCGCTGTGCGAAAGTTTTCTTGCACACTTCGCATGAAAATGGTCGTTCTCCACTGTGAACTCTGAAGTGTGTGTGTAGGTGAGAGCGCTGGGAGAACGCATTCTGACACACTTTGCACGAAAAAGGCCGTTCTCCACTGTGAATTCTTAAATGTTTGTTTAGGTTAGTGCTGCTTGCGAACATTTTGATACACACTTTGCACGAAAACGGCCTTTCTCCACTGTGAACTCTGAAATGTGTGTTTAGGTTAGAACGCTGGGCGAACGTTTTCTTACACACTTCGCAAGAGAATGGCCGTTCTGCAGTGTGCACTCTGGTATGGTTATGAAAATTAGAGCGACTAGTGAAGTTCTTCTTGCAATCTTTGCAACAAAAAGATTCTCTGAGACCATTTGATCGTCCTACTGCATTATGCTTAGGAGTTAACAATGTGACATTCACTTCAGAAAGACACGGTGTTTCTCTGTTATTTCCACATGCATGTCCCAATAAATTTTTCCCACGAGACAATGACTTCTTACATATCTCGCAAGAATCGCAGTTTTCTTCTCTGTTTAACAATTCTGCTCCCTGTTTACGACGAAGTTCCTTGGCATTAAAATCCTTATTAGTGTGTGTTGCTTCAATATTTGCTGCATTTAATTTAATACTCTGAAAGAAAAACAGAAATTCTATAAGAACCCGCAGTGGAGTTCGGCTCGGAGACATTTTCCACTGATACACACGACACTTATACAAGTATTGTTACACAAGGAGAGACCAAGATGATATTTTGTCCCAGCTTGATCCCCAAATTTTCTAATCCAAACGTAAATTTCTCTAAGCAAATGCTGGCAATCGTCTGCCAGTTTCAGTGGAAATGTTGCGGGCGTCTCACGCTATGCTACGCATTGATTAACCGAATCATTTAAGCTGGTCCTGCCATCGAGTGGAATTAATGACTGGTGAAAAATCATCCTTTGCCTTGTATGTCTAATAATTTGACCGGAATAGTTCTTGAAATTCTTACTGGTATGGAGCACGTTCAAGGGTGCAAATGATATTTCTTTACATAAAGTTACATTTCAGGATACTGTTGCACTGCACAGGTCTGACTCTGCCTTTTTCTTTAATGACGTCTATGTGCAATTTCGGTACGAATTCAAATTCCTTTTTACTCTATTGCGACTACATGTTTCAGCTATCGTCTCGTGTACAAGGAATCTGCTGCTCACTGTAAAACCTTTTTATGTCTTATGCAGTTGCCTCAATTTACTTCTGATAACGTTCGTTAATTATCTGTTTTCTATTTGGTGTCCTTAAATCTATACTTATTTTTTTTTAGTTCTAATATGCGATGTGTTATGTTAGAGCTTTGTTTGAGGTACATATTTATATTCAGTTAACGTATATATGTCATTGCCGGTCACGGTAGCCGACCGGTCTAATGCATGCAATGTCTTCGCTAACTCGGAAACCGGGATCGTGGTTTCGAATCCCACTCAGGGCATGGATGTTTGTGTGTGCTTTACTGTGTTTGTCTACAGGTAGAGGCCTTGCGACGAGATGATTCCTAGGATTCCTACCGTATGTGTAAGATCTAGTAACGCGAAGTGAAACAGAGGGTTTCATGGAGGTAAGCCTAGGCCCAAAATTGGGGTTGTAGCGCCACAGAGAAAAAAAAGAAAAGAATATACGATATTACACGTATTTACGTTATTGTTTGATTTGTTGCCTATGACTGTCTTGGCTGTTATTGTATGTGGTGGCCCACCATCATGATCCTTCAGTGTAAGTGTTTGCTGACGTTGGTAGTGTTGCTTCCTAAGATGTGTTGTGTGTTGTGGGCTGTTCTCTGGTGATTGTTTCCTGTAATGCTTTGAATATGAGATACTTGTTTCGGCGCAATTGAAAAAAAATCACTGGAATATATCACTTCATATATTATAGATTAAGCAAACACGTTGAGGTCAAGGAAAGCAAAGCGAATGCAGATGGCTAAACCGCATAACTGGAACTAATCCGAGGGAAACACAAGAGAAACAAAAAACATTACAGTGAACAGCAGATTCCTTAATTACAACAACTTGTACATGTGAAGATAGTCGATTAGAACGAAAAGATATAGTGTAAGAATACACGACGGTTGAATTGTAACCGAAGTTGTATATAGACGGCATTAAACAAAGTCATAGTCAATTATTTCTGTACATTTGCAGAAATCTGGGATTGCCTTGATACTTAAATATTCTTATCCTGTGATTATTAGTCTGGATTTTATTAATTGATATTAATATAACTGCGCCGCTTTCTTCAATTTGTTGCATGTAAAAGCATTGCTTCTTTAAGAAGAAGACTGCACGTGTAATTTGGAACTGGGGAAAACATATGCATAGTGTATATTTGTGCTGAAACCTTTAGGATCGTAGCCTCGTAGAACACCAAGAGAGAACTACGTGAGTAAAAACAGACTGGATATTAGCGGAACAATTTTTTGGGATGTGTCTTAAAGTGAAGCGAATATCCATTGTGCCTAAGTGTTTTGAAATTTCGGTTGTAACATGAAAGTCACTAAGGGTACGTGGAAGGGACGGTTATAGAAATCCAACGCACATGGAGTGAACTGCAATGAAGATAAGTGCACATGATGTAGTTACCTGGCACATAAACTTTAGATGAAGACAATTGGAGAACATGACAACAAAATGTGTTTCTGTTATATATTATAATTGGTCACACAACACTTACAGACTGATTCCTCAAAGCAGGAAATGTCCAGTCAACTCGTGTCAGAATTACTTTTGGGACTCGAGTTGCTAAGGAATGCAACGTCCTTCGCAGTCTCGCAAGGCGTATTTCTTCACTTGCCATTCTTCTCTTGTTAATCTTCTCCTTCTGTTGTTCTGTGGCGAACACACATAAAGTTTAGACACTGACACACCAGAGCGTGCAATGAAATACATCACTCCGATGTCAGAAAATGAAGCAATATAATTTGATATGATATTCCAATACAAGAATCGGAAACTTTATACCCCTGTCCTTGACAATTCCTGTTCTTATAAATTAAATAAAGATAATTCAATTGCAATGCGTATTTACACATTAATACATTTTTCAACAGGCTCTATTGCGATGCACTGAAGCGCAGTTAGTAAAAATTAACTGCTTTTCATAGGCCAATTTCTCAGTCTTATTGCAAGATATATGAAGAAGGAGCCGTTGAGGAATTAAATGTTGAAATGAAGTAATTAAGCTGCTGTTCGAAGACAAATTTCAGGTTAAGTTGATCGGGAATAAATCTGTCTTTATACAGAGGAGCTGTAGGCGGGACACCCGGGGTTCTATCCCCGACAGGAGCATGACACTTTTCTCTACTTCACAGCGTCCAGACCGGGCCTGAGACCCACCCAGACTCTCGTCTACTTGGTAGAGGATGATATTTACATGGGGGTAAATAGGCCAGGTCTTGTAGCTGATCACTCGTCTACATTTAGTGCCGATTTCAAGAATGGTGGAGATATACCTCCATCCCCACATGTACATTCATTATTTACTGCTTGTTTAATAAAACACAAAGGCAGTTTTTACTTTCTTCTACTATATAATTGTGTATACGAATAAAAATTCGAAACATCAACATTACAATCTACGTTACATGCAACTTTCTTCGGTCACCCACACATCCCAATAAACCACTAGAGTGCAGAACAAATACTGCAATTCAAGGCATATTTTCTATATTTTTTGTTCATTTGTCACTCGATTTCTTTCAATTTACATAATCTTTTCAGCCGCAATATGGCCCTGATAGAGGATGATTCGATCCCAAGGCCATAGTGCGCTTGGAAGGATTCCATCGGTAAATACGATAAGAAGTATTTACATAATTTTTGTATATAATACATTTTCACATTACTTATTTTTTTAACAGCTCATCGGACGTTCATTTCAGAAATGCATGCCTTACATATTGTTTAGAAACCACGGATTTGGATTAGCAGCTGAAAATTTTCTATTGTTCTGAACCTAGTCACGTAAAAATAGGGGATGGGCAGTAAATTCTTTCACCTGAAATATTTCTGAATCCTCCACTCATTACAGCAACACTGTACTGATATTGAAGGCTACTACTTCGAGCGACTATTATAATATAATGGAGCATGTAGATCCGTTACTGAATAACGCCTTCACAAACAATCAGTTTCCCATGGTAACGAGTCCGCGCGTAACAATACAGAAACTGTTGTAAACGATGATTTCTATGCTGTCCGTCCTGAAATATTATAAGGAGAATAACTGGAGCTAGAGTTCACGTAGATTGAGGTCCCCTGAGGCTCATGTTACATGGAATGAACGGAATATCCTCTTCGTCAATCATGTAAAATATTTAGGTGTAATCTCCGATAAGAGGATTACGTGGAGACTGCTCATAAGTATTATTGAAGCCAATGCAGTCGTACCATTTATTAGAAACTACTCCCTATTCAGCAGTGAGCGTTTAAGTACCAAAATTAAACTTACCCTCCATAAGACACTAATCATAACATGGAAAGACTGGTGAAGACACAGGAGACTAAAATTATTGAGTTCCAACAGCAACAAAACGAATAAAAACAGACCGTTGCGAAGGAGCGTTCCCGAGGCAACGGATTGCCGAACACGTGAATTTGGAATAGGCTCTTCCATGTTAACGCAAGAACAGCTAACCGTTGCGTAGACAATGCAAAAGCAACGAACACGTATCCCCATAAGTGAACTACAGAGGGTTCGTTGCACCCGTTACGTAACAGGGGACAGTAGTAATGAAACAGTGAGAAATGGTGTCTGATATCCAGTCCGCAGAACACTTACGTAAGCCGAGAGCTACAGAGACAGAAGACAGCAAGAAGTAAATCTTGGGATAGCCGCCGCCAGAGAGAGTTGAGATCCAACCACGGCCAAGGATAGTTTAGACGTCGCATTGGAGTATTGGGCCAGAAGTCACGTGATATTGCAAGAGATAATAATAGTAAGAGTGAGTGTCCAATAAAGGTTCGCTAAATCCAAGGCCCACGTAAAGTTATTTGTCGCGTGACATACCCAACACGTGACAATATACAGATCTATACACCCACACCCCCATACGCCTTCATGGCGTAGTGCTTATTTGGTTAAGCTCAGGGACAACTCTACCTTACCTTACATATAGAATAATATATCTGACAGGTCACGGACTGCATATGAACCACTTGTCTAACAAATTTCGAATCCAACGGGACATGTAGTCTGAAGAGACGGCACTCGCTAGGCTACGACTTAGTAAACACGTAACGACGGCAACATACAAGCAGCAAAATAGAAGTTGTTATAAAAGACACAGACACAAAGACAACAAGGGGAATTCAAATGCCTCTTTCAATTTTGCAAATGAGGAATGTAGGCAAAAATATATCAAATTGTATATCTAAATAAAGTCTGAACATCATTATGAACAGCATTGCCTGTACGGAGACCCGCCTATGATAATATCTGCAAGTCACGTTTAACGCAGTGCCAGTTTTGATGGAAATACACTATTTCTGGAGATAAAGCAGGCTTCACCGTCTGCCAGTAAAGTTTGCAGGAATTTGTAAACACGAGTCACAGTTACATGGACTGACGCGAGGATATCTAACATTATTATGTTAGAACATGGAAGCAGACATTCCTGTCTCACCGGTCACTAATGAAAATAAAATAGAGCGGGGTTATATTATCTATAGAAAATTACATACATATAGAATGTTAAACCCTTTCAATATGAAGAGCGATTGTTCGCTTCAATCATTGATCCACGTAAATGAAATAATGTAAACAAGGACCGAGGAATCTTAATTTTCTGTTGAGCGAATGAGAATTAAAAATTTACGTCCTGTTTCACGGCTACAAAATGTTTCTCAATTACGAAACAGTCCGTTTAATAATGTTTAGGCAAATAATCGTAGCTTCTCCTGAGAATCATATAAAACCCATAATATTTTCTTTACCCAAAACGCACATTTTCTACAGGGTTAAAGGGCGTAATATAGCCATATATACAGATTGTTAAAAAAAATTAAATGCTTTAAGAATGTAAAATACTCACTAAAATGAGCGAACATTCCCAGTCTAATGTGTCCACAAATCAGTGTCTACTCAGATATGGTCGATGTTCATCTGTCCCTACCGCAGGTTCTGCACGTGAGTCCCATGCATTTCAAAACCACTTTCAGCTCTTCTGCGCAAAGAAGTGCGCATTCTGCCCGAAGATCCTAGCTTCACTCCAATCCCCTGTCAAGCATTCTGTGCTCGTTGCTGTGATACCTTCAATTCACTCATTGACACTGAGTACACAAAACACTTCATATGTCCCACAGCCGAAATAAAGAATTGTGATTTCATAGAATCGTGAAAGCCAATTGTCAGGACCTCCGCATTTTACCACTCTTCAAGGGAAGTCTGACTGTGTTGGTGTGTGACATAATAGAAAATATGAGATGGTGCCCTGTCAAAGATGAAGGATATATCTGATCCTTGTGAAGAGGCACACGTTACAAGAGTAACAGGTAAATCACTCACAAAACAAATTCGGTGCACTGCACCTGCTAGTCTGCTAGGAAAGACAAGTGGTCTTAAGATTTCATCATCTAAGGCGCCTACCTAGACCCTGGCACCCATATCTGAGCAAACATTGATTCCTGGAAACATGTTGACGGGGCCCTGTTTTATTCTTTTAAATGGGTACTATACCACTTACCGATTTTAACATCAACCTGTGTAACTTCGTGCATGTTTCCATGTCCCACCACTCCTTACTTCCTGCTGCGTCCCTTTCTTTCTATACCATAACTTCACCATCTTCTACTCCCTTGTCCTCCTTCATTGTCATGGCGTCCTCTGTCCATTCCATTGCACACTCTGTCTCTCCAGCGTTGGAGCAAACAGCTTTTTTCGTCCAAATTTTTTTTATATAATTAGCCACATAGTTTGTTTCTGAGCAGCACAATCGGCTGTGCCCTGATTTCGGTTTGTAAATTTACTGTAATTTCCCTTGGACTGTACGTATATTAATATTGTTATTAACCCTTCAGCGTGGTTTGCCGTACACGGTACGCTGGTATTTAAATGGTTTACCTGCGTTTTGTCGTACATCGTACGCCAAGCTGTAAGCCTAATTCGAAGGCCCATAAATATGGAACGAATCATTCCAGCATGATAACGATTGCACCGGGCTGATCTGAAAAGAATTCGCTCTCTGTTCGTGTAACCATCAGATTCACCAGAAGACCCAAAATCGTACAGGCCCATCAGTCTATTTCCCGTTTTCTCAAAAGTTTTGAAAAACTACTTCTAGCAAGGTTGAGACCACTCCTCAATGAAAATAACCCCATTCCTGACCACCAATTTGGGTTCAGACAAGAACACGCAACAATAGAACAAATCCATAGTCAGTAAGATCTGACAAGACCTAGAAGACCACAAGTACGGCTCAGCAGCCTTTCTGGACATCACACGAGCTTTCGATAATGTCTGGCATACTGGAATACTGCACAAACTCAGGAAACTGCTCCCTCTCAACTGTTTTCTTATACTCAAATCTTACCTACAAAATAGACACTTCCTGGTTAAACAGCAAGACTAACACACACACATCTAACCAATTCTATCCGGAGTATCCCAAGGCAGTGTCTTAGGACCCATATTATACTTGATATATACAGCTGACCTACCCACCGAACAGAACGTGCTAACAGCAACACTCGCCGACGATGCTGCCATATTGGCCTCGCATGAAAACCCGCAAACGGAGTCCCAGATCCTTCAAACCAACTTGGACAAAATTCAGCAGTGGCTTATTAAATGGAGAATAAAACCCAACGAAGCAATACATGTTACGTTTACCACCAGGAAAGAGACCTGCCCGCCTGTCCATCTGAGCAACCACCATCTCCCCCAAGCAGAAGAAGCTAAATATCTTGGTTGCATCTTGACAGAAGGCTGACTTGGCGCAAACATGGTTACACGAAAAGGAAACAACTAGGTCTAAAACTCACCAAACTATACTGGTTAATAGGAAGAACCTCCAAGCTGACACTTGACAACAAACTACTGGTTTACAATATCATACTGAAGCCCATCTGGACGTATGGAATCCAACTGTGGGGAACGAGCTCAAACTCAAACATCGAAATACTAGAACGCTACCAGTCAAAGGTACTTCACATGATAACCAATGCCCCCTGGTATATGCTCAACAATGTCATCCGGAATGACCTTGGTATGACTACAGTCAAGGAACAAATAAAACAACTTCGTGTTAAATATAGTAACAGACTTAACAAGCATCCAAACGCACTAGCAACAGACCTCATGATTCAGCCGAATCGGAACAGGAGACTTAAACGCTTCGCGCCAATGATCTGCCGGGCAGATTCTATGCATTATATTTAGTATATACACGAGTTGACTGGATATTTCCTGCTTTGAGGAATCGGGCTGTAAGTGTTGTGTGTCCAATTATAAATTTATAGCAGAAATATTTTTTGTTGTCATGTTCTCCAGTTTTCTTCATCTAAATTTATGTACCAGGTAACTACATCATGTGCACTTATCTTCATTGCAGTTTACTCTGTGTGTGTGGAATTTCTATAACCGTCTCTTCCACGTAGCCTTACTGACTTTAATGTTACAACCGAAATTTCAAAACACTTAGGCACAATAGACATTCGCTTCACTTTAAGACACAACCCAAAATTTTGTTCCGCTAATATCCAGTCTCTTATTACATTCGCAGTTCTTTCTTGGTGTTCTACGAGGCTACGTTCCTAAAGGTATCAGCACAAATATATGATATGCATTTGTTTTTCCCCAGTTCCAAATTACACGTGCAGTCTTCTTCTTAAAGAAGCAATGCTTTTTACATTAAACTAAATTCAATAAAGGGGAGGAGTTATATTATTAATATCAAGTAATAAAGTCCAGACTAATAATCACAGGATACGAATATTTAAGTATCAAAGCAATCCCAGATTTCTGGAAATGTACGGGAATAAGTGACTATGCCTTTTGCTTTAATGCCGTCTATATGCAAATTCGGTTACTATTCAACCGTCGTTTTTTTGACACTACATGTTATCGGTCTAATCGACTATCTTCATATGTATATATTGTTCTCATTATGGGATCTGCTGTTCACTGTAATGCTTTTTCGTTTCTCTTATGTGTTTCCCTCTGATTAGTTCCAGTTATGTCGTTTAGCCATCTGCTTTCGCTTTTGTTTCCTTGACCTCAACGCGTTAGCCTTATCTGTAATATATGAAGTGATATATTACAGTATTATTTTGAGTTACACCGACACACATAACTCATATTGAAAGCATTACAGGAAACAAACACCAGAGAGTAGCACACAACACACATTATTTCTTATGGCAGCAACACAATCGACGATACGAAAACACATACAAACATGGACAATGATGGTGGACCACTTTAAGCAAAAACAGACAAGACAGTGACAGCCAACAACCCTAACAAAACAGTAAGTAACACCACATATGCAGTAACTAATTATACATATACAGCACAAAAAAAAAGCTCTACCTTAACACATTATATATTAAAAATAAGGCGAAAACGTACAGCTTAAGGACTCCAAAAGGAAAACAGATGATTAACCAACGTAATTATAAGTAACTGAGGCAACTGAATTAGAGAAAGTGAACATCAGATTCCTTAATCACAGCACCTTGTAAATCTGAGGATGGCCGGAACATGTAGCGACAAGAAACACAGAGAGAGTAGAATAGTAACCGAAGTTACACATAGACGGCATAAAGCAAAAGGCAAATTAGACCTGTGCAGTACAACAGGAACATACGATTTAACTGTACAAGAATATCATTTTCACACGGTTCAACCTGCTCTAAACCAGTAAGAATTTCAAGAAACTTGTCTGTAAAATTGTTACACATACAAGGCAAAGGGATATTCTACTCTCGCAAATAATTCCAGTGGTGGCAGGAAGAATTTAACGCAATGGGTTCTCTAAAGCATAGCAAGGCGTGTGGCCCATGCAACATTTCCACTTAAAGTGACAGACACATGCTAGTATTTAATTAGAGAAATTTATGTTTCGATTAGTAAACTTTGAGGACCAAGTTGAAGCACAATATCATCTTGGTTTCTTCTTGTGTAACGTTATTTGTAAATGTGTCAGGTGTATTAGCACAAAATGTCTCAGAGCTCAAGTCCACTGCAGGATCCGATAACATTTCTGTTTCTTTCAGTGTGTGCAATTAAATGCAGAAAATATTGAAGCAACACACGTCATTAAGGATGTTAACGCCAAGGAAATTCTTCGTGAACAGGGAGCAGAATTATTAAACAGAAAAGAAAACTTCAATTCTTGCGAGATATGTAAGAAGCAAATGTCTCGTGAGAATTATTTCTTGGGACATGCAAGCGGAAGTACCAGAGGAACAACGTGTCTCTGTAAAATGTGTGTCACATTGTTGACTCCTAAACATAGTGCAATAAAAGGATCAGGTGGTCGCAGTAAGTCTTTATCCTGCGAAGATAGCAAGAAGAAGTTCACTTGTCACTCAAATTTGTACAATCATTCCAGAGTACACACTGCAGGACAGCCATTTTCTTGCGAAGTGTGTAAGAAAACGTTCGCCCAGCACTCTGACCTAAACAAACATTTCAGATTTCACAGTGGAGAACTGCCTTTTTCCTGCAAAGTGTGTAAGAAAACGTTCGCCAAGCGCTGTAACCTAAACACACATCTCACAATTGACAATGGAGAACGGCCATTTTCTTGTGAAGTGTGTAGGAAATCGTTCGCCCAGCGCTCTAACCGAAACACGCATCTCAGAATGCACAATGGAGAATGATCATTTTCATGCCAAATGTGCGAGAAGACATTCGCACAGCGCTATTACCTAAACAGGCATCTCAGGGCACACAGTGGAGAGCGACCGTTCTCGTGCGATATGTGTAAGAAACGGTTCACTCAGCTCCATCACCTCAAAATACATCTCAGTGTTCACAGTGGAGAACGGCCATTTTCTTGCGACGTGTGTAAGAAAACTTTCGCTAATACACATAGATATATCCTGAAGAAACATCTGAAGGGTACACAGTGCAGAACGGCATTTCTCGTGTAAATTGT